TGCTGAGAATAGTCATAATAAAAATATCAAGCCCCTCTAGGGATGAGGTGACCAAAAATGTAGAAACAACCAAAGACATATCTTGACCAGTCTAAACATGCCCAAGTGAGTAATGGGCCACCTGGTGTTTATCCTAGAAGGTCTGAGGCTTCATGGTCAAAAATAGTGGGCCATCCAGCCTGTCAAAATGATTGTTTACGCAAAGTGCTGATGTTTGAAATATCCAATTATATGTAACCGCGCCAGAATTTCCCGCTTTTCCCTTCCCCCTTGTGCCTCCCCCTATAAAAGTTCTAAACTTCCTGGGGTCTTGATCGAAATTCCTTCCCCTGCGTGGGATGAGTTTCAATCCGAGGGTCCTCGTTAGTAAACTGCCTTTTGCCATTTGCATCAAGTCAGTCTCTCGTGTCTCCTTGGGTGTGCGCTGATCAGGACTTGAGTTGGGGGTCCTCTTTGGGGGTCCTTACACAAGTACTCTTTTTTTTTTTTTTAATTTTATATATTTATCATTGTTCTCTTCAGACACAACAGAAGAGAGCATCAGACCCCATTGCAGATGGTTGTGAGCCACCAAGTGGTTGCTGGGAATTGAACTCAGGACCTCTGGAAGAGCAGTCAGTGCTCTTAACCACTGAGCTATCTCTCCAGCCTGTAACAAGTCTTAACCACTGAATCTCTCCAGCTCATATCTGCTGTCTTTGTAGGAACTGAAGTGAGCTTGTACAAAGCTGATGGTAGTGTAATTATACTTATCTGTGGTAGTGCTAATGAATTCTGACCAGTAAAGATGGATTTATGCCAGGTCTGGCATGGCCTTGGTAGGGACAGAATGACACAGTTCCTGCCCCTGGGCCAGCAGGTGTGGGCCTCCACAAGTGTCTAGGGCTGCTATGGGTGTAAGACTTGTTTGTATAATAACGTACATATTTTACATTCATCTTTCAAGGAATGTCCTCTCTGTTAACCAGAGGCAGTAGGTGTCTGGGAGGTGAAGGTGTGGCCAACATCTCAGCAAAATAGTAAATGCTGCCTTCAGGACAGCCTAAGGCTGTGGGAAAGAACTCTAAAAACATGGTTCAAAAGTACATAATTTCTCCAAAAATAAGGATTCAATATGAATTATTTGAGAGTCTTCACAAATCTAAAGGAACAAAGGCAGCTGCATTAATGAGTCAGCTTGTCAGAAAGATACAAAAGCAGGCAGATTCCTGAGTTAAAAGTCCAGCTTGGTATGCAACTTGTCCTAGCCCAGGTATGATAGAAATGGCAATTTCAGGGTTGGGTCTCACCCAACTATTTTATGGAGTGTGCTTAGCAGAGGAAAGCAGATCTCTGAATTCTTTTGCAGTGTTAAAAAAAAAATGTGCTTGGGGTAAGAGATATGGCTCAGCAACTAAGAGCACTGATGGCTCTTTCTGAATTCCTGAGTTCAAATCCCAGCAACCACATGGTGACTCACAACCACCTGGAATGGGATTTGATGCCCTCCTCTTCTGATGTGTCTAAAGACAGCTACAGTGTACTTACATACATAAAATTTAAAAAAAAAATGTGCTTGCTGTCTCCTAAGAATCAATGAGCTGGGTCACAGGATGCTGATTCATGGGGTAATCAAAAGGGAGCCTGGAGTGAATGACTGGATTGATGTGTAAAATAAAAGACTGGGCTTATGATCTGTAAGAGCTGAGCTATCCAGAGACTTTTGTAGAACAGCAAGAGAGAACTGCTTGGAGAACTGTCTTGAACAGAAAATAGCAAGAGAAATCTGTCTAGAGTAAGAGATGCCTGGAGAGCTTCAGAAAAAGCAGAATAGAGAAAAAGCAAGCTGGAAAGCTGTTTCCAGCAGAACACAGGTTGTCAGCTTGGACTCATGATTTGACTTTTGAGTTGTGTGTTTTTGCCACTCCCAGACATCCTTTTCTCAGACCCCCTCTCCAAGCTGAGAATGGTCCTTGGCAGAGTTCATTTCCATATAGTAGAAAAGGCCATTGCAGGGGCTGGAGAGATGGCTCAGTGGTTAAGAGCATTGATTGCTCTTCCAGAGGTCCTGAGTTCAATTCCCAGCAACCACATGGTGGCTTTCTTCTTCTTTGTGGACGATTACTTAACCAGCAACCAACTAACAACCCACCATGCTTCTGCTGGCAAAATCACACCCCTGCTATAGCACAAGGCAAATCATAGTCAGCTTCTGTGGACAATCTGAAGCAGCCTCATATCCCACACTTGGGATTAAAATAAGAATATATTCCCATATTTCTGTGTTTTTCAAAGAAACCAAAATTCTCACTACATTCCTCTGATTATATTAACAGAGAAAGAGAGAGAGAGAAAGAGAGAGAGGTGGGGGGAGAGAGAAAGAGAATGAATTTCATTATATATCCCTAGCTGGCCTTGAACTCTATGCAGGACAGGGTGGTCTCTAACTCAGATCCACCTAACAGACTCCAGGAGTGCTAGGATTAAAGATATGAGCCTCTGGCCGCATAGAGGATAGGAACTCTACAGGAAGACCAACAGAGTCAACTAACCTGGACCCTTGGGGCTCTCAGAGACTGAACCATAAACCAAAGAACATTCATGGGCTGAACCTAGGGCTCCCCATAGAAGATATGCAGCTCTGCCTTCATGTGGGTCCCAAACAACTGGAGCAGGGGCTATCCCCAAAGCTGTTGCCTGTCTGTGGGATATGTTCTTCCAGCTGGGCTGCCTTGTCTGGCCTCAGTGTGAGAGGATATGCCTTGCCATGCAGACTTGATGGGAGGATAGGGGGATACCCGGGGGGGGGGGGGCTCCACCCTTTAGGAGGAGAAGAGGAAATGGGGAAGCATTGTGGGAGGGGGCGATCAGTAAGGGGAGCAGCAATTGGGATGTAAAGTGAATAAATCTAACAAGAAACAAAACAAAAGGACATGAGCCATGATGGCATCATTTGACTCACTGAAATTTTGAAACTCTAATTCTCACTTGTTTAAGTCTTATTTTGTTTTCATTATTTGGGTTGGAGAGATGGCTCAGTGGTTAAGAGCACTGGCTGCTCTTTCAGAGGTTATGAGTTCAATGCCCAGCAACTACATGGAGGCTCACAACCATCTGTAACAGGATCTGACGCCCTCTTTTGGTGTGTCTGAAGAAAGTGACAGTGTATTGAGTACTCACATACAATAAATAAATCTTGTTTAAAAAGGTATTATTTTTATCTTTTAAGATAATGACATATTGCCGGGCGGTGGTGGCACACGCCTTTAATCCCAGCACTTGGGAGGCAGAGGCAGGCAGATTTCTGGGTTCGAGGCCAGCCTGGTCTACAGAGTGAGTTCCAGGACAGCCAGGGCTACACAGAGAAACCCTGTCTCGAAAAAACCAAAAAAATAAAATGAAAATAAAAATAAAAAAAGATAATGACATATGTATGTGGCTTGGATGATGAATACAATTTTTGGCAGGTACTCATTTTATATTTGTATGAGTTACATTTTGGGCACACATCTTTAATCCAAGGACTTGGGAGATGGAGGCAGGAAGGTATAATTTCCAGGCTAGCTGCTCTATATAGAGGGTTATAGGCCAGCCATAGCTATGTAGTGACATCTTGTCTCAAAAAGCAAAAGGAAAAGAAAAAAAAGTGTGTGGCATGTTTGTATATGTTCATGCATATGTGCTTATGGTGTATGCGGGGCAACTGCAGGTCAACACCACGTATCTTTGGATGGTCTCACTGAATCTGGAGCTCACCAATTCCAAAAAGTTGGCTGGCCCACAAGTTCTAGAGATCTGTTTGGCATATTTTAATGTTTTAAAAATTATGACTTAGACTATAATATATGCTGGGGAGCAATACATTATAAGAATAAAAGTAAAAGTAGGGTTACAGAAAAGCTGCTAAAACTTGAGATATAATATATATTCATTTGTCTTTGGTTTTTCTGAGACTAAGTCTCCTGTGGTCTGGCTTGCCTCCAACTCTCTTAACTCCACTTGCTAACTGCCAGGATTACAGGTGTTCCCCACCAGCCATACCCAGCAATATTTTATTTAAAAAAAAAAAATACAAAAACTTGGGAGGGACTGTTGGGGATTGAACCCAGAGTCTCACATAGGATATCACACACTGTGTGCTGTCCTATGCTACTTTAGATAAGGCCGATGCGTCCTATAATTTTTTTTTTTTTTTGGTTTGGTTTTTCGAGACAGGGTTTCTCTGTGTAGCCCTGGCTGTTCTGGACTCACTCTGTAGACCAGGCTGGCCTCGAACTCTCGAACTCAGAAATCTGCCTGCCTCTGCCTCCCAAGTGCTGGGATTAAAGGCGTGCGCCACGACCGCCCGGCTCGTCCTACAATTTTAACAATTATTGAAAGCCTCTCTGTTCTCACTGCCAGTACACTGATCCAAACCATCATCTTTCTCATCTTCCTTTTCTTATTCCTACCTAGATCAACTCTGTCTCTCTCACTAGGAGCTCTTGCTGTCTATCCTGTAGCTGTGAAAACCTGGTTTGGTCTGGAACTCACAGAGATCCACCCGCTTCTGCCTTTCAAGTGCTTGCTTGAATAAAGACATACGCCACTCTGCTCAGCTAGGCGATCATTTATAAAAATAGTGATCACCCCTTTCTCTTCTTGGATCCTGAGTGGTGGAGTCAATTTGAAAGTCTCTGAACACAAAATTAGGTACCGAGTCTTCAAAAGGACTGTCTAAAAGGCAGATCTTTAAACTGAAGTTTCTATGGCTTCCTTGCAATTTCGCTTCTGTCTATAGTCTGGTCTAATTTCGTTCTACCTCGGCATCTTTCTCCATGCAGTTTGAGCCCAGTAGGCCTTTCCTGCACCTTCTAGGAGCCTCTTTAGAAGCTCTTGCACAGCCACAGCTTCGGGTGCGCCCTGTGCTCTCTGGTGGGCGGGGTGTGGAGGCTGGCGGAGCCCTGGGGGCGCGGCAAGTCTCGCCCCTCCCCCTTTGCCGCTGTTCTAAGCAGCTCTCAATCCTCCCCCGGAACCCGCGAGAGCGCAGCTGCTGTTTCCAGTCGGAGTTATCAGCGTTGTTAGCTGACATGGCTGCGCCCGTATTAAGAGGCGTTCAGAAGCTGCTGAAGCTCGTGGATTTCACTCCTGTCCCGCGGAGACATCGATATAAGAAGAAATGGGTAAGGTCTGACACTAGAGGGAAACTTATCCAGCTCTTGCGTCTTCTCACGGTTGCATTCGGGACATCCACTCCAGGGACTGTAAGCTTCTTGGAGCTCTTGTCACACCTCTGCCTGCCCCTGACTCCGCCCCTCTCTGTTAAGTCACCGTCTGAGCTTTCGTTCGGTGACGTCACATCGCCTCATGTTATTTTTTCTTGCTTACCTTTATCTTGCCCTTCCCACCCTTCTTTTTCCTTTTCCTTCCTCCCTCTTTCCCTTCCCCTCCAGTCCCATGACCTCTTCCCCTCCTTTCCTCCTTAAAATTTCAGCCCCTGCAACTTCACCTCAAGCAGACTGTCCTAACAACTACTCTTTCCCTCCTGAGTCTCCGTCATCCTGCAGGAAAGGATTCACCCCTCTTCTTACTGTCGAGGTGCCTGTGGCGTCTGGGAAAGAATTCAGCGACCACCTTTCCTGTACTGCTGGCCTTTCTCCAAATGCAGGCAACAGATTCAGCAACCCCCCTTACTCTAGAGAACCTTTCTCTTGCCTCACTATTTCATCTCCTTGCTTACCGCGACGGATCCCCACCCCACCCCCTCCTCCTCCAGTACTCTCCTCCCCACCCCCACCGGAGAGGTGTTCTTTTGAACCCTTTTCTCCACTCATAGGAAGGCTGTACAGCCAAGAGCCAGGTGGTTCATCTCCTCCAAGTCCTTGTTTTGACCGACTCAGCCTTCAAGGGTCACCCTCTCCTCATCAGCGGAACCTTTATTGCAACTTTATTGGCTCCCCAGAATCTCAGCGTTCATGTCCTCCAAGTCCGCGTTGTTACGTGTCTTCCCCACCTCTCATTCATCAGCCCCCTAGAGCCAGCCCAGTAACTTCCCCTCAACTTACTCATATAACCTTGGAGACAGGGCCTGTGATTTCCACTCCCCTTATGCCAGGGTCCCAGAGAAATTACTCCATAATTTCACCTCTTCTTACCCATCGGCCTCTGAGAGCTGGCATTGCAATTTCACCTCCCCTTGCTCACCGGTCTGTGGAAACTAGACCTCCAACCTCTGCATCCATTTCTCACCGAGGTTTGGAACCTGGGCCCATGATGTCCCCTTGGTCCTCTGGAAGAAGTTACAATGATCCTCCCCTTTCCTCAGCATCTTCCCCACCCTCTGGCAACCCTTACAATGACCACCCTATGCCTCCAGACTCTTGTGAGCTTAAACCGCAGCTTGATGTATCTCTTGGGAAAAATGGCTGTGGTCCTCCACTTCCTTCTCAGGCAGGCATGTCTGGCCCTCCCATCTCACCCCAAGAGGGCTGTATTCATTATTCTCATTTATGCCCAGATTCCCAGATATCTGCCCCTAGGAGTCCTTACTGTGTTATCAACCTACCACCCGAGAGTGCTGGTTCTCCTAGCTCATCCCTGCCTCAGGCTCTCCAGAAGCCCTGCTTAGGGTCCTTTCTGTGGGAGCCTGGGGGGAACTCTTACCTCTTACTAACTCCAGGTACTGTAATTTCTGGTCCCTCCTGCCCCACAGAACCACCTCTTCCTCAGTGTCCTTCCCTGTATTTCCCGTCTCCCCTGGACAACCAGTGTTTAGCTCCACCTCAGTCACCCAGAGGTTATAAAGAACCCCATCTCCCTACCCCAGCTCCCCCTAAAATGAAGTCCCCCAAATCCTCGGAATCACGACGAACTCCCTACAAGTGTCGCTCCCTAGTCAACACACCCCACCACACTCCTCCTAACCATCCTAAATCCCATAAGACCAACACCTGTCCTCAGCCTCCCTCCCAGCCCGCTGGCCTCTCTAGTCCACTTATGGAGCCGTCCATCACATCTACTTCAAATTCCGGCCCAAAAGAACTTCCCCTAGAGACTCCTGTCCTCAAAACTGTTGCTCCTACTTCTTGTTCCCATACCTTGCCTTGTAATCCTGCCTTGCCCAGTAGATATCCTAAGAGCAGTCCCCACGGACCACCTCCAGTTTCCCCCTGTAATACTCATACGTATTCTGTGGTTCCCCCCACCTCCCAATTATCCCCACTCTCTAGTCCCCTAAATCAGTCTGTTCATCTCCCTTATAATCAGCCTGTGGTTCTCCCCTGTGGCACTTATTCTGCTCCCAGGGGTCCACCACCGCCCCTTAGCAAGCCTGTGGCACCTCCTTGTTCCACTCATATCTATTCTTTTATCCCTCTGAGAACACCCTTTGACCCCCGATGTTTACCTGTTGTCCCTCGAGCTCGGTTTTGCCCTACTACTATTCCCTGTGGCGTTCATACCTATGCTGTGACCTCTCCAGGCCCACCGAACAATCCCTCCCAGATTCCCTACAGCTGTTCTTTGCCTCCATCCCAGACCCCTTCCACCTGTAGTACTTCTGCCAGTTCAACTATTGTTTGTAGTGACTACCAAAGTAGTGATGGCCAGAGTAACCACCAAAACAAAAGTCAGAGCCAGAACAAGAGCAGCTCCCTTGGTAATCGAAGCAAGAGTCCCCTAAGAAGGGGTACCTTTCAGAGCAGAAGTCGGAGCCGGAGCAGTAGTCCTCCCCGAAGCAGTACTCAAGACCAGAGTGAGAGCACCCACATGAGTGTCAATCACCATAAGAGAAGTCGGAATCAAAACAAGAGTCTTCCAGATGGTATAATTGAGAGCCAGAGCAAGAGTCCCCAGCATAGGAAAAGTATGGGACAGATCAAGAGTCCCCACAGTAAGAAGAAATAATGACCAGAACACATGTTCTGACCAGAACAAAAACCCAGACTAGGGCAGAAGTTGCATTAACAAGACTGCCATCAGTAGTGTCTTAGTTGTTGCAATGAGGACCAACTTGTGGACTCCTTGTCTAAAGTCTTCAGTTCTTTTTTAATCTGACTCAGGTCCTTTACCGCTAGCCCATAGCAGTTGTCCTAGAAGTTTCTGCTTTAATTCCTACCTTAAGATTCTGTGAACTGTCTTTATTCTGCCTTCCTGGGGTTTGGGAAGTATAAAACATCTCAGCTCTATGATTCTGTGCATTACGTTGTCCATTCACTGCATTATCTTAGGTGAGTGACTCATTGCTTTATCAGATGTGAAAGGTAGAATTATTTGTATCCTAGTGAGCATCACTGCCATATACCTCTCTCATAAGCGAGTAAATAATAACAAGTTTTTGAAAACAGGATTGTAAAGAATAAAAGTGTCAGGCATGGTGGTGCATGCCTTTAATCCCAGCAATCGGGAAGTAGAGGCAGGTGGATCTCTGTAGTTTGAGGCCAGCCTGGTCTATAAATCAAGTTCCAGGACAGCTAGGTCTATGCAGAGAAACCATCTCTCAAAAAAAGCTTTAAGCCTCAAGTTTCCCCAGGGCCTTCACAGTTTCTTCAAGAGTTCTCCCTTGGGTTATGTAAGTCCCCCAATCACCTTTGCAGTGCTAGGTATAAATCTAGGCCATTGCTTGTGCTAGGCAAGCACTGTCACACACCGAACACACATGTATCCCAATTTGTTTTGAACTCTATGTAACCAAGAATGACCCTCCTTTCCACCTCCGGAGCGGTAGGATTATAGGAGACTTTTTAAAATGAGATTCTTTTATTGGTGTGGGTATAGTTATGTGCATGCGTGCGTGTATGTGCTGTGGTACACCTCGGGTGGTAAGACAGTAAGTAGGAGAATCAGTTCTTTGTTTCTGCCCTGTGGGTCTCAAAGATCAAGCACAAGTAGTCAAGCTTAGTGGCAAAAACCTTTCCCCATTCATCCATCTTGATAAGAGACTTTTTGTTTGTTTGTTTTTTTGTTTTTTCGAGACAGGGTTTCTCTGTGTAGCCCTGGCTGTCCTGGAACTCACTCTGTAGACCAGGCTGGCCTCAAACTCAGAAATCCATCTGCCTCTGCCTCCCAAGTGCTGGGATTAAAGGCATGTGCCACCACTGCCCGGCCTCGATAAGAGACTTCTGATGAGTAATTCACCCTGGCTTTGAATTTGCTTTTGAAGCCCCAAGGTTAGCTTTGAACTCTAGATCCTCCTGCTGAGTACTGCAATACAAGTGTACACCACTATGCCTAGCATTGACTCTCTTTTTTGGTGACCCTTAGAGTTACTGTGAGAGGTATATGTCCCTTCCAATCTGTGATATCAAGGCTAACTTCACTCTCTCCCAGTTTCTCTGGTAGGCAGAAGCAAGATGCAAAGATAGGAGGGAGCACTGAGTGGATTTGAATTTGCCTTGGGGTTCTGAGGCATTGGTAGATATGGTGGTTAGTTTTGTGTCAGTTTGAAACAAGTTACATAGAGTTATGTGAAATGAGGGAACCTTAATTGATAATTTGCCTCCATAAGATCCAGCTGTAAGGCATTTCTTAATTAGTGATTGATGGAGGAGGGCCCAGTCCATTGTAGGTGGTGCCATCCTTGGACTGGTGGTTCTGGGTTCTATAGGAAAGCAGGCTGAGCAAGACATGAGTAAGCAAACCAGTAAGCAGCAGCCCTCTCTGGGCTCTGTGTCAAGTCCTGCAGTTCCTGCCCTATTTGAATTCCTGCCTTGGCTTCTCTCAGTGATAGAGTGTCACCTGGAAGTATAGGCTGAAATAAATCCTCTCCTTCTCAAGCTGCCTTGGTCATGACGACGTTTCATCACAGCAACAGAAACTGCAGTAAAGTCAGATGATAAGAGGTAGAGTCAAGACTGGAGCAATCAATACACCTGCTCTTTCTCTCTTAGGCTACCACAGAACCACAATTCACTGCCAGTCGGCTTGCTCTGCAGAATTTTGACATGACCTACAGTGTACAATTTGGGGATCTTTGGCCATCAATCCGTGTTAGTCTTCTCTCAGAGCAGAAGTATGGTGCATTGGTCAATAATTTTGCTGCTTGGGATGATGTGAATGCTAAGCTGGAGCAGCTGAGTGCCAAGGACTTCGTCAGTGAAGCCTTCTCTCACCAGAACCTGGAGCCTGAGAGTGGCCTCTCTCCAACTCCATCCCTGGACTGCAGCCCAAACCTTCGATGCTTCACTTTTTCCAGAGGGGACGTCAGCCGCTTTCCTCCTGCCAGGTAGGGGCTGGAACCCTGAGGTCATCCTAAGTCCACTGCAAGTGGGCCTGAAGAGCTTAGCTCCTGCCCTCTAATACAAATCAGTATTAATGGGTGTCTCCAGTATGTGTGTAGACCTAAGTGTTGTGTATGTCCTGTCTCTTTTGTCAATACCCTGATGGAAATAACATCTGTTTTCTTTTATATTTGAGGTACAGACAAGTTAAGGAAGTTACTTGCTTTTGATTATTTAGTCCCAGGAAGTTTGAACCCCAGAACCTGCACTTGGAACCTGTTCTGCATTCTGTAGAAAACATCTACCTTTCTTTTTGTTGTTGTTTTTGTTTTTGGGTTTTTTTTTTTGTTTTTTTGAGACAGGGTTTCTCTGTGTAGCCCTGGCTGTCCTGGAACTGGAACTCACTCTGTAGACCAGGCTAGCCTTGAACTCTCGAACTCAGAAATCCACCTGCCTCTGCCTCCCAAATGCTGGGATTAAAGGCGTGCACCACCACCGCCCGGCAACATCTACCTTTCACATGAGCAGCTCACTGCATCCTTCCCAGTGAAGATGTGTCCCCTTCCCATTTGCCCTGTCAGGCACCTGTGAAGGGAGGAGGAGAGGAAGTGGACTTTGATAGGAAATAGGGATTGCCTGGGAGTACAAGTTAGTGACAGACCTGAAGAAAACAGAACTTTGTCTCTTCCAGAGGTGCTACTTATGGGTATGAAGTTTAGTGGGAAAAGACTGTACAGTCAAGTGCTAAATTGTGCTTTATGCCTTGAGAATAGGAAGCTGGGTATGGCAGTACAAGCCTATGATACCAGTACTTGAATGGTGGGCTTGAGGCTGGAATGGGCTACAAACACACACACACACACACACACACACACACACACACACACACACACACACACACACACACACGTGCGCGCACACACACACAGCTGTAGGGCAGGAAGTTAAGGAGCCTGAGAGCCTGAGGTCATTACTAACCCAAAATAACACAAAACTAAAAAGTCTTATCTATGATAGCAGAGACATTTTCTTCTGCTGAGTATTGGAACCTAGTGGTTGACATGTTAGGCAAGCCTTCTACTATTAGGCTACTATAGAACCTTTATTTCAGATGAAAAAGCCTAGGTATAGAGAAGTCATTTGCTGAAAGTCACACAATTAGAAATGAGGTGGGTTTGAGGCCCACAAAGTCCAGCTGTGGGATGCAGATTTAACTGTCTTCTATGATTTTGGCAAGGTGGCAGTGAAATTTGGCATACATACAACATTCATCAATGATCCGTCTCACAGCAAGGTGCACCTCTGATCACAGCACTTGGGAGGTAGAGGCAAGACGACCAGAAGTTTAAAATGATACTTAGCTGCATGTGAGAGCTGGTCTCAAAGAATTAAAAAAGAAAAAGACCCTCAGTATTTTCATTGGTTTCACTTAAGATCATTTTAGTTACTGTCTGTAACTAAATCTATCTGGATAGATTGGGTGAGGCTTGTCAATTAGTCCTGAGGCCTTAGCATTGGCAGAGCCATGGAGTAAAAACCACGTGGCCTCCTCAGTTGTTTGAGGCACCCATTACAGGGGTTCCTTCTCAGGAAGAGACATGAGCAATATGGCAGATTTCTAGATGCTTTGTCCTTCACCAAAATCTCTTAGGAACAGCTCTTCTCCCATCGGGCTTCTTATGAAATCAAAGGAACCCCTTCTCCCATCGGGCTTCCTGTGAAATCAAAGGGGTCTTACTTTGAGCAGCTCAAGGAGCTTGGTGAATTTAGGAATAACCTGATAATATCTGTGACATTTTGTGTACTTTTTAAAAAATTTTTAATAACTGTGGCTTTTGCTGGGCAGTGGTGGCGCACGCCTTTAATTCCAGCACTTGGAAGGCAGAGGCAGGTGGATTTCTGAGTTCTGAGGCCAGCCTGGTCTACAGTGGCTTTTAGCAGATTCCCAAAAATGAACCAAACAGTTTAAGGAGGACAGATAGAGACTGGATGAGGGTGGCTTTTAAAGGCTGTTGGCTCATGTTTGCAGTTCTGTGTGGTTTGACTTTCTCATGTTTCTCTGTCTTCTTTTGTAGAGAGACTATCTTGTGTATTGTATGGACCTATGGTCTATAGGAAAGGGTAGAATAGAAGGTGGGACATCTGGTAGGCAAAGGGCAAAGGATTCTGGGATGGAGCCAGGTGTGGGAGATTTGCCCCAGGACATGAAGGAGGACTGACTAGTTAGAATTGAGCAGAGTTAACCAGCCACATGGCAACACTTGGAATAAAATGACAGGATGATTAACTTAAGAGCCAGTCAGAGAACAGCCAAAGCATATGGCTAAGGTGTTTATAAATATAATTGTCTCAGAGTCATTATTCTGGCCCTGAACACTTTTGTTAATATTTCTTTGTGAGACATTATGTACAGAAAATCCACATGTAGTTTGACTTGAAACTGTCCTACGGAAGCCTGAGCCTCTTTGTGAATTAAGGTGCTATACTTGGGGCCTGGGGATTGTGGCTGACTAGCAATGTGCTGTGCCATGTCTTATTATACCCTTCTCCCAGGGTCATTGTCCTGTTAGGGTTTCTGCATCCTTGAGTCTGTCCCAAGGCTGTCCATGTTGAACTCCATCTTAGGAGGGGGAATGGCTGCTTGCCACCAACTGTCCTCAGTGACAGACAAGCCCAGGAGTCAGGAAGTCCTGGGACAGTTTGTGTGCAGTTGACCACCCCACCATCACCTAGCTCTCTTAAAGCCAAAACTTTTTCCTTAAAAAAACTTTTGATAGCTTCCTGTAGGTTGTAGTCCAAAATCCTTAATATAGAGTGTAAGGCTTTTTGTGTTGGTCTTGCCTTTCAACCCCAGTCTTAGGCTTTTTATTTTCTTCTTGCAACTAGGGATTATACCTAAGGCCTCATCCATACTAGACAGGCATTGTACCACCGAGAATGCAGGCATGCCCCCACTATTACTTTTTAAATATTTTTATTTATTTGTTTAAAGATTTATTTTATTTTTAATCATGTGCATATGTATGTGTCTGTGTGAGTAGATGCCACATATGTGTGGGTGCCAGCGGAAGCCAGAGGTGTCAGACCCCTTAGCTCTGGTACCCTTATATCAGGTGTGAGCCACCTGATATGGGTGCTAAGAACTGCACTTGGGTCCTCTAGAAGAGCAGCGCACACTCCTAATCACTGAGCCACCTCCCTGTCCCCAAATGAGGAAGAGTTAGTGTAATAGGGGAGTTAGTCACAGTTTCTGATTTTTTTCTTCTTTCTTCCCACCCCACCTCACCCTCCAGGGTTTCTTTGTGTAGCCCTGGGTGTCCTGGAACTCATCTGTAGACCAGGCTGGCCACAGAACTTAGAGATCTGCCTGCCTGTACTTCCCAAGTGCTGAGATTAAAGGCACACACCACCACCGCCAGGTTATTTTTTATTTTTATATGTGAGTGTAGTATATGCCCCATATGTGCGCATGACTGAAGAGGGTGTCAGATTCCCTAGAATTAAAGACATTTGTGAGCCTTCATGTGTGTGCTAGGTGTTTAACTTGGGTGCCTTTGACTGCTGAGCCATCTCCAGTCCTTCTTACTAATTTTTTAAAAAAAGATTTATTATATATACAGTATTCTGCCTGAATGTTTGTATGCCTGCAGGCCAGAAGAGGGCACCAAATCCCATTACAGATAATTGTGAGCCACCATGCTGTTGCTGGGAATTGAACTCAGGACCTCTGGAAAAGCAGCCAGTGCTCTTAATCTCTGAGCCATCTCTCCAGCCCCCTTCTCATTAATTCCTTTTTTTTTTTTTCGGTTTTTTTGAGACAGGGTTTCTCTGTGTAGCCCTAGCTGTCCTGGAACTCACTCTGTAGACCAGGCTGGCCTCGAACTCAGAAATCCACCTGCCTCTGCCTCCCAAATGCTGGGATTAAAGGTGTGCGCCACCACCGCCTGGCACACACACACACACTTAAAGTGAGGAACAAGTGCTTTGAAGAAAAATAGTGTAGCTGGAGATAGAGGGTGATAAAAAAGAGAGGCTGTTATTTTAGACAGGCTAGATAGGGACTGCCAGTGGCTCTGAAGAGATCACTTTGAGGCAGTGCCTGACAGAAGTAAGGAGGCACATCAGGGATAGTTAAAAGAAAAGTGTTACGACAAAAAGCATAGGAATTGAAAGGCCTGAGGAATGGGCATGGAATGAATAGCAAGGTGGCTAGGAGGGCTAGTTTGGAGTAAATTGATTTGTTCTCAAAAGGGTCACTCCGAAATGGGGATGTAGCTTCATTGGTAGAATGTTTACCGAGCATGCACAGAACCCTAAGTTTAGCCCACATTGCATAAGCCAGGTGTGGTGGCACAAACCTGTAATTCCACAATTTGTCAGTGGAGCAGGAGGATCTGAACTTCAGCGTCACTCTCAGCTTTATTCAAAGCTTGAGCCCAGCCTGGGATACCTGAGACCTTGATTTCTTTTGTTTTGTTTTGTTTGGTTTGGTTTGGCTTTTTGAGACAGGGTTTCTTTATGTATCTCTGGCTGTCCTGGAACTCACTCTGTAGACCAGGCTGGCCTCGAACTCAGAAACCCACCTGCCTCTGCCTCCCAAGTAGTGCTGGGATTAAAGGCCTGTGCCACCACTGCCCTTTTTTTTTTTTGTTTTGTTTTGTTTTGTTTTGTTTTGATTTTGTTTTTTAAAAGAATTACTATGGATACTGTATGGATGAATGAATGAGTAGTAGATACCATATAGATGAATGAATGGGTACTGTGGATACCGTATAGATGAATGAATGAATGGGTACTGTGGATACCGTATAGATGAATGAATGGGTACTGTGGATACCGTATAGATGAGTGAATGGGTACTGTGGATAC